CGCGCTGCGCGCTGGGGGGCAGAGGGCGGCCGCCGAACCAGCCACAGGACGCTTCCAGGGAGCTCTCACGTACCTGCGCCACTAGGACGGCGCCTCTGGTCATCTCACTAACGGCGGCGTCTGCTTCGGATGAGAAGCGATCCTCATCTTTGGAAAGAGGAGAGCGGGAGAAAACAAGTGAGAGATTCACAGGCTGGAAGGGCCAGAAGGGACTACTAAGCTAATCTTGTCTGACCTCCCACGTCAGTTCGGCCAGAGAATCCTCACCCACTGCTGCTGTACACGTTTGCTGAAGCCAGTCTATTAAGCTGGAGATCACACAAGTGTGATGCCTGCTGCGCTGCTGAAGGCAAAGGACGAAGCGCTTTCTAAAGCCACTAGCTAAGTTAACACGAACAGAAGCGGCTGATGAATTAGGAGGCTTTAAAGACTTAAAAGTGTACCTCTGCAGTACCTTTGGGCTGCCATTAGTATTTTGATCCTTAATAAACTAAGCTCAGGGGCCTCGAGACTTCACTGACCCCGCGCAAAGTGCGACACTGACTGGGAACTCCAAAGCCTCTGCACCACAGGCTGGCTGGCACCCCACCAGTGCCAAAGGCACTCTTGGCAAGCCCTGGCAGCTCCAATCTCGCAGCCTGCACAGCTTATGGGGGTGCTCTTGCTAACTCCACACCTGTAATGCAGAAGGAAACCCTCATGTCCAAGGCAATACAGCCACAATCTACACTGGAGATGCCACGTGTTTTCATTTTGGAGGAAAAGTTGCTCAACTCCTACCAAATTGCTGCAAAAGAAGGTTTCTCCTTCGTGCTCCCAACCCAGAGACCATATCCAGCAGCAAGCAAGCTCCTTACAACCCCACAAATCCTGAAGGAGCTCATCTACCTCAGGGAACAGGCAAAACACTGACTTCTGCTAGAAGCAGCTTAAACCTTGCCACCCCTCTTGTCTTGGCAGGGCCTGTACCTCCTGGAGTCCCGCCGGCCACAAACCCCAGTGGCAAGACCTGCCCTGACCCCTACAGCCACCCCTTCCACCCCCAGGGCAGCTTTTTAGACACCATTACAGCATGCACCTCCAGCACTGCTAGAAAAGGGGAAAAAAGCAAAACAGAAAGCATTTCTAGGCAATGACTGGCATTCTCCCTGTGCTCGGAGGGGAGTCTTTTGAACACAGAACTATACACATCAGTCATTTTAGCAGGAAAACGTCAGATATTTGTCCAGCACATTAAAAACGAGGTTCGCCTTTACAGCTACTCTACGGCACAGTAGTTACAGCTACCGCCCCTAGACCCTGCCAGTCCTGCCAACTTGCTCTTTAGGAGAGTAATGCATTCTCTCTTCCATGCAGGAAAACGCCTGGACATTTATCATCTTTCCCCTGGAGTCTGACAAGTACTCTGCCAGCACATCTAGAACAATAAAATAGGCTTTTCCCAATCCTTGCTCTAGTCCCATCACAGGCTGCGCTTGCAATAGGAGGGAGAAGGTTTAGTCAGAATCATCGCTTGCACACAGTTGGCATCCACTTAAACCTGCAGGAGGAGCGCCAACAGCACGTCTCAAGAGCTCCATTACCTGGAAGTGGCACCACATTGTCTAGTAAAACTTCTGCTCCTTGGAAGGGTAGTGATAAAAAATCAGACCTTAAAGCAAAAAGAATCCATCAGAATAAGAACATGGCTTTAAGTTACTCCTGTATTCTTTAAGCTGACATTGATTAATCAATTGCTCTAACAGGAATTCAGTTTAAAATTGATGACAGTAAAAAAAAACCAACAGACTATTCTCCCAGCAATCTAAGCAGCAGCAGTAAATTGCCTGATTAGCATGCCAAGTTGGACTGGGCTCCCAGCAAAAAAATCACGTCCATAATGGAGGCCGTACTGCCTTTCTCCCCGCTCTGTGGCACAATCAAGTATTTAATGGGCTTGTGTAAGAAAACCCTCATCCAATACAGCTCTCCCAGCCACTGGAGCTGGGGCATGGAGAATCTGAATCTTATTCCTAGCTCATCATTAACTACCCTTCGGGGCCTCCTGAAGGCATCCTTTTGCTCAGCTTTCACACTGAAGCGGCAGAAGTTTCAATCTGCTCTCCCCTCCCCTTCAAAAAAGCCTTGCAAGAGCTTGCTGTGCTCCCAAGGAATCCACACCTGCTGCCGAGGCAAATCTTTCTACCATTTCCCACTTGAGCCGTGGAAAAACCTATAAGCAATTCAAACGGTACGGGCGCCTCTGATGAAAATTCGAGCCAGATATGGCCTCAGGCCATGGAAGAGGAGCTAGAGACCTGATTTGTCTGAGTGTGTCAACCTTCACTTTGTCATATCCTCCATAGTCCACATATCTGAGCTCCACTTCATTGGTCTCTTCGAAGTAGCTGATGACTTGAGCCCGTAACCATGCCCCATCCAGGCCTGGAGCTGCACAGATAATACCAACTGCAAAACATAAGAGCACAGAGAAGAAAGGCTCAGTTTAAGTGGATTTCCAGAAATCAGCACTTTAGGCATTAGGAGTGCTGCACAGTTATCTCCTGTGAATCAACAGAATTTCTCATGCTGCTTCCATCTTCTTTCAACACCACCCACGGCCCCACCAGACCAGGCCAGCAGCTGGGACACAGGAGAGGTGGGTTGGACCGTCACGGCTCTGTCACCACCACCCTGTTCTACCCAGGTCCCCGGGTCCCTCCCAGCCTTTGCTCACTAACAGCGAGGTCTGTCTCCAAACAGGAATGCAAGCGCTAGTAACCCCTTTCCAGGGGATGCACCCTCCACTTCACACCACGGGCAGACAGTGACACTGTGAGGATTTGGGAGCAGCTCCACACTGTCAGCAGAAATACACCAGATACCAAAGTTGATTAGAAATAACCCGAGATGGACTTTATCTCATTCTGAATTTCAACATGCAACTAAGTGGCTGGGGATGCTCCAGGGATGAGTGGGGTAAGGAAGAGCAGAGCAACATCTGCACTCTGGCAGCAGCTGAAAAGAAGAGATGAAATGACAAGTGAACTATCACATTCTCATCCAGTGGGAAACGTCACGAGTTTAACTCAGGGGCATCAGGCTTCCGCATGACCCCAGAAGTTTCTCAACTAAACAACGTGTGAGCAACCAAGTTACTTGCCTTCTACTGGAGTTGGCAGGGTTGGAATTTCAGGCTGAGAATAGCAGGCATACATCTGCTGGTCGAGACTACGCAGGACATGGAAAGTGGGGTGTGTGTGCTGCTGGAGAAACATGTGGCCTGCATCAACTTGGTTCGCCACGACCACCTCTACAGTGACTCCATCCGGGAGGAACAGCTGCCACGTGGAGGAAAGAAATTCTCAGAGTTCACCGCAACACCAGCTTCAGTCAGCAGCTCCGTGTTCCACCAGAAGCTCCTGAGGTTTACAGCCAGGGGCAGAAAATCCCCGGCACTCTGGTATTTCACTTCCAAAGGCTGCTTTGGATCAGGAGCAAAAAGCTACTCACTGGTACTTCACACTGTTCTAAGGGAAATCAGACTTGGGGCGAGGCCAACCTTGTACACAAAAAGACTGTGGGCACAGAGCAGCTCCAAGACTTATTTACCCAAGAGACCAGTGAGCAGAGTCAGAAATGATGCCGGTCAAGTCATGCTGCGCTATCAACATAATGCAACTCGCAGGGATTCCCTGCCCATGGGCTTTTTACACACCAAGGGGTCTTCCAACCCAAGTGCTTCTCGGAGTCTACATTGCTCTGCTCAGGCAGAATTGAAAGAGTAGTGTGAGAACAGGGAGATAAATCTGGTCTCTAACAGTTACGTGAGCTGGACCACAGACAGCCACACAAAACCCAGCTGGTTTGGAGGGCATCTGCGCACCAGCCCCCGTGGATACGGCATACTACGACGGCAGTGACCAACAGCAGCCTTCCACCCAGCCATCAGCACAGCCAGCAGGCTGGCACTCACCCAGGCAGTCATCAGGAGGGAATGAAGTGTCATCGGTGTTGGTGGAGGCAGAGCGTAGATGTTGGTGAGACACAGCTCTTTGAACTTCTTGCCAATCAAGCTCAGTACTTTTTCTACTTGATGCGTGGAGCCTGGAAGACAAAAATCCCAAGGAAGCCTGTAGCACAGAAATGCTGAGGACACCCCCACCCCCAGGAAGCAATATAGCTACCAGAAGCCTTCTGTGCTACATCCACAACTTAAGTTTTACTACATTGGCCAGGTAACCTAATATCAGACCAACATGAGCAACTCAGACTGCCAGGCCCCAGCTTGAACAGCTTTAGCCTCCAGTACGAGCCCAATTCACTGGCAGATATTTTTCAGCCACAATTAATCTAACATCCTTCACAATCAACACTGCATTTGCCGACACATATTAGACTTTGACTACAGGGACATTCCACTTACCTTCGATGTGACAGACTTGGGAGTCACGGAAATAAGGTAGTGTCGAGACATAGATTTTGGCACCAGACATTTGCCTCAAGAAACTCATGAATCTTCCTTGTCTGCCAATCAGGCGGCCAACTAATTCCTTTATGAAAGGGACAAGAAAGCAACAGTCAGGAAGAGAAACGTAGCTCAAACAGCGCTGTTCCCTGCGCCTTATTTCACCCACATTCCCAGTTCCTGTAGCGCAGGGCCAGGCAGGATAAACAGAAGGCAACACCGGAGCAGTGCAGAGTTCAGCCGGTCTGTGCTAAGTCAAGGTGGACACAAGCCAGTACGCACAGCTCACTTCAACAGATCCACCTTCTATCTTGTAGAATGCAAAGACACGATGGGACAAAACTGGGCCTGCTAAAGGCTGCTGTCTTCCTACAGTCAAGCAAAGCCAATCTCCCACCACTTTTTTTTCTTTTTAAAGCATGCCACATGCATTTTTTCATTCTGATACAAAATAGTTTTAGCAATTGTTAAACAAGCTAATTAGATTAGAAAGGCAGCAGACAAATTCACAGGCTCTCATGCCTGTTAGACTAGAGTCCCTGGACAGCTGTGCAGGGTGACGAAGAGATGCCTGTGCAAGCCCTGTCACTTCCACTCTTCCCCTGGCACCTCCCACCACTTACTGTCAGAGACCAGACACCAGAGCAGAAGTGTTGGGCCCGAGTCAGCACGGATAACCCTACACCGTGTAAAGCGAGCTACGTCGGGAACAGTGACAGCCCGTCTGTCTGCGCTAACCACCGAAATGCACTTTGCTGCTGTCGAACGGCCTCCTTAGCCTGGGTTGTACTGATCCATTACAATGAGTGTTACATGTCTGGGCTCACAGCACCCAAGCACTCGAGGCAGCCTGCTCGTCCTGCCAGCAGCTGCTGCCTCACATTGCTGGCTGCTGAGGTCTTCTCAGGTCTGCCGAGCAGCAGAACTGCAAGAGCAATGCTGTGCAGGACAGCCACGGGCGATTTTGCACATACAAAGCAGGGAAGGAGGAATGAACCTAGTCCTAAAACCCACAATCTCTTTCTCCAGCCAGAAGAAAGCTCACTATAAAGACAGAGACACAGCCGCCCCACAGAATAGCTCAGACGAGCGTTCAGCTTGCGAGGAAGGGTTTGGATGGGCAGTTGAAACATAACCCTCCTACGTAGTAGAAAAAAAAAATCATCACTTGCTTTTAATAACTGTGTACCCTCAAAGCCTTCTGAATGCTTTCAAAGCATCAGATTAGCAGATTGGAGTGGAAGATAATGGGGAATAACGAGTCCAACAGCCACCGTTACCCTGGGCAGAGCCCTGACATGCCTCTTGTTTACCGTTGTGTACCCTCACTCCTGTTGAGTCCTAACAGGAGCTAAATGCTGAAATCCTTGTTGGTTTGTTGTTGATCTCCCTGGGCCAGTACCAGCCTGGAAGAACCAGAAGATGGCTATGGAGGGCAGGGCAGGATGGGCGAGCAGGCTGGCGGCTGGTTACCTTTGGGACCTCTATTTCCCAGATAACGAAGTCGGACTTGCTGGATTTTCCTCCGAGCTTCGAGTTCTGGTGAGTCATCGTCTTTCTCATGGCACAGCCACTGTCCACAAAATCCACGCTATTTACATCCGAACCTACAAGACATACACACGTGTCAGCATTCAGACAACCCACACAATCCAGCCACCAGACACGAGGCCATGGAAATACATCATTTCATAGAGACGTTAGATTGAATTCTTCCTATGCATTCCACTGGGATGTTCCTGTATCAGGTTCTCCAGTATTTCAGAAAGGGTAAAGCCCTGTCACACACAGCCTACTGAAAGTTTCCTTTTATTCCTGGAGGAAAACCTGCACACCTCTGTGAATGCAACAGAAAGAGGCCCAAGTTCAGCGGGAGTCTTTTAAACACGGTGACACCTTACACAGCAGAGGCAAGACACCAGAAGCCAGAGTTACCAGCCGAATGAGAGCTATGCTAACAACAGCACGGGGCTGCTCCTGCAGCAAAGCATTCTGCATTTTCCCCTATGGCTTAAAAAGGGCTCTTCACAGGGAGCTTGGCGTGCTGGGAGGGACATGCAACCTGTTCATCAGCTTTTGGCACTGACATTACGTTCCTGCCCCAAGAGGGGCTGCACAGTGACCCGAGTGACTGCTGTGCCCACTACTAGTTGTGGTAGAGGATTGCCTCTTGCCCAAATATGCCACATGCTTGAAGAAACAAGGCGCCAGAGCTATGTTTTGTTCCCAAACCGACAGCTGATAGCAGGAGCTTTTCTACTTGGGACGGGGACAAACTCAAACAGCTTTCTCCTGGTCAGCTCCCAGATACAGTCAGTGTAACACAAGGTTGATCCTTCCTCCAGATTAACAAGCAGGAGCATGAAGATCCTCACTTGCTCACAAGTATTCAGACCATGCAGTGCAAGACCAAAGAGAAAAATAAACCCAACAGCTGCTTCACATTTGCCACATCTTAACTGGTAACACAGCACAGATGCCTAGAACGTCAAAGGCAAGCAGCGCAGCCGAGGATGCAGGTCTCACAGCCTGGGTGTGAAGGTCAGCTGTACGACCTCTTATCCAACACAGCCACATTATCAGCTTTACCTGCTACATCCCCTCTCCCCACCCTTCAGCTGTCTCAGTGCAGAGCTTGTAGCCCATATCATCACCAGGCTCCACAACACACTCTTGTACCTTCCTGTCACACCAGCATTCACAGCCAGGCAAAACCATTTTCTTCCTACAGTTACTCTCACTAGTAAATACGTTTTGTGGGTTTAGTCCTTAATTGTTGGCAAACTCAATCCCCATGTCTTGCAACAAGCAGCGCTCCAACTACTTTGCAGCAATTACAAAAGACATCCTGTCATTAAGGGCTGTTGGCACCACAGGGTCCTATAAAGGGCTTTAACATCCATCCCCAAGGTCACACGGGTTAACATTTGCTCAGACAGCTTTGTGTGCTGCCAGGCACACATCATCCAGGATCTAGAAGGCAAAAGCAACACGGAGACAGATGGGGGAACTCCATGAACATTGCTCCCTGTTGGGATGTCTTGGCACGCACCTACCCTTCCAAGCAAAAACGCTTCAGGGTAATTGGTCTGCCACCAACTGGTTTTATCACAATTCATCAGAGCACTTCCCTGGTTTATCCAGCAGCACCTCAGAAACCTGCCTTACAGCCTCTTTTCAGCAGCAGCCCAGAAACACAAACCCAGTGCTTACTAGAGGCTGCCTGAGCTGAAGCAGAAACCATTTGTATTAGCGGGTCTCCAGCAAGGTGTCAACAGCCAACACCCAGACACAGTCCATGCCACTGAGCTACTCGAGCACACGCTTAGCTTTAGGGGACCAGCCTGTTCACTCCTTTGCAGTAGACCCTGAAGACGCTGGATCCTACAGAGATGGGAATTCTGAGAGCAAATGCATACCCACCTGCACACGAAGGCTAAATATTCATCTGCTGGGGAAGTTAAACATGAAGAGGATTTCTCTGAACATGTTCTGAAGCAGAAGGCTTACAGCACATTAAATGCTTGTTCACCATGTTTTTTGTGGGAGGATTTTCAAAACCCTTACCTCCCGAGTGACCTCCATCCATCCCTGCTGCCCTGCCACACTCGTGATGCGAGTCTGGACCATCCTGTATCCCATTACTGTACGGCGTTTCGCTGCCTTCAGGTAGCTTCAGAGTAGGACATTTTTCACTTGGTACTGAGCTCTGCTCAGCAGACATGTCTTGGGTAGCAGATACACTCAGTGAGTCCAAATGCTGGCCTGATGCGACAGACAGCATTGTGTTCTGCAGTGGGTCCTCCCCAGTCGTCCCACCTTCAGATGCATATACGCTGCACCCAGAGTCCCCCATAACCAAAGGTGACTTTTCCAGTGACCCTCCATGGTTTTCCACAGGAGTCCGACCAACTTGTTGGGACTCACTGCACACACGGTTCTTCATCCGACAGTCTTTTGTGTCTCCCTGAACAGGGCTGGACAAACAGCCACGTGTTAAACAGCCGGAATCTGTCACACACTGATCCTGCTTCTCTGCCTGTGGGGATGCCAGTACCGCAGCAGCGCTCTCGGCAGCAATGTTCTCACTGGCTCCTGTAGCTTCCCCTGCAAGCATCTGAGCAGAGGAAACAGCACCGGCCATCTCCAAAGGTCTCTCAACTCGGCTGGCAGTGGCCTGGCAGATGCAAGCGGACACGTCACCTGCAGCACCAGACAGCACTTCCTCAGTTGCTGCCAAAATGACCTTGGAAATTATCTGTATTGCTACTTGCTCAATTTTCTCAACTTCTTCCTTGTCCAAACTCACTCCTCCAACCTTCGCTCTTCCCAATTCATCTCCTTTTGGCTGCACGTCCTCCTCCTGACACGCAGGTACAGAACTGGCAATTGACTCTTCTTCCCTGGACTGCTCCAAACAGGCAGACTCCAACCGATGTGGTAACACGCTCACTGCAGAATCCCTGTGACTCGATACAACTTCATTATTGACAAAGGCTTGTGCGGTATTGGCTTCTTTCTCCAATCCCAAGCAAAGTAATGCCACAGAGCCAGTATCCGACAGCATAATTTCTGGCATCTGGACTTCCTTAGGAGGCTTAAACGAAGAATCATCTGACTGCTCTGCATTGCTGATCTCCTTAGTGATGCCCAAAGACTCTTGCGTCGGTGTCAGTGGTGCCGATGGCCACTGATGGAGGCTTCCACTAGAGCCTGAATCCTGTGTAAGGCTCACTGCAGCACTGCCGTGACACACTGTGCTCTTTGAGATCAGAGGGGGACAAACACAAGCAGGGACGCTGCTTTCATCTTGAGACCCTACTGTTTCTAGTTTTTCACTGTCGTCCTCAAGGGTGCTGGGCTGAATCGTCGTTACTGACAGGCCTGAAAAGTCCTGTGAGAGATCTAGCCTCTCGTGAGTTTGACACAGAAGAGAGGGCGTCATCGACCCTGCTGACAGCAGGAAGGTCGAGGTTTCATTCTCTGGGCATTCCTCTTCTGACGAGTGAAGCAGTCTTCGAGGAACACACGCTTCCGTTTTGGGTGAGGAATTATTCCCTGGCACTTCTTCCTGCTGCTCCTCTTCGGTGGCTATTGTTTGCTTGTCGTGATAGCTTGCATGCTTTTTTCTATGGGAATACATCCACCAGCAGCCAAGAAGTGCCAGCACTCCAGGTATGGCATAGGGGATGGCATTACGGAAGCGGAAAGCCATTTTACAGAGCCTCAGCAATTATATCTAGAAGAAGAAACAGAAACCATGTTAAAGTAGCCACAGGGAAGGTGACAGGAATGCTGAAGTTTCATAAATGCCTTGAGGTATTTCTAGCAGCACGAACAGGCTCGTTTCCCAGTCACTCTTTACATTGGCATCTCCGCTCTACCAGCGGACCCCAGAACAAGACCCTTACCCAAGGCTAGGGAGAGCTGGGCATTTCTCGCTCTTACACTTCGCAATTTCACCTCACCTTCGCGCTTCAAATACTTTCACCTTCTTTCTCCTGCCTCACCTTTGCAGGTCCGGACTGCCCACAAGGGCAGCAGCCAGCACTCGCGCGTTTCTCCAGCATCAGGCTGGGTTCACAGCGCAGCTGTACCATGAGCACTGCAGGACTGACTGATACATGGCAGGTCTGCCCAGCTCTCCGCTCGAAAGGCAGCATTGCATTCCTGAGAGCTTCCTAGGCTGACAACACACTTCTCTGAAACAACAAACTGAAGTGCTTTGCAAACGTTCTCACCCCCAGCACTGCAAGAGGCTGGTGTGCAGGCACAGGACAGAAGTCTGCCCTTAAGTAGGAGCTGAACAGCAACACGCAGCTACTCCATTTACCTTTGCACGCGCAGCATAGGAATTCCTAAACAAAGAGCAACTACAGCCTGATGAAGCAATGCCCCCCAATAACCAGAAGCCCCTTTAAAAAAATGTCACAGTAGTGAAGATGGGAAATAAATTCTAACACCCTTAGAACAGCAGCAGTTTGCCAGCAAAAGCAGCCTGGATAGAGACACTACTACTGAGGAACACAGCTCCAAACTTTGCTCTACACCTAAATTGACTGCATTGACAGCTGCTTCTCGTCTTGACTTTCTAGAGCTGAAAGCCACCTGAACCCAGAAAGCGTGTGAACCCTTCCCCATAACAGAAACTTAGGGTTTATATTTTCACTAAGCAAGAATTAAAGCAAACCACCACTGACAATGTTTACACCACAGACTTCTTTTCCAAACAGGCCTCAAAGACTTTTGCCAATGAGCAACAACAACAAAGATTGTTTTCAGGAGATAGCAAAGTCCTAGAAATAGGAACCACCCACTGGAAGAGAGTATTATCTAGTTCCTCTTCAGAAGCATAGCAGTTCTCAGACAAGAGAAGACAATCACGTCAGTCTGTCAACTATGCTTAGTCTGTCTCAACCAAAAAAACCAACCTTCTGTTATCAGAGCAAGCATTCTGACCACAGCTTCAAATACAACTCTCCTTCGGGGCCCCGATTTTCACAAGGAGCTGATTACATTCTAGCTGAGGGACAAAAACATGCCTCCCTCAGGCTCAAACCAAGCATCCAAGCCTCAGATAATTTAATATTCACTCCAGATTTCTCACCTCCTCCAGCCGCACCCTCCCACCCCACAGCAGCAAACACACAGCTTTACCCAAGCTAGCTCGGATGCCAGCCTTGCTTCCCTCCTGTCTACTGCAGAGTCCCAATGACTGAGGCAAATAAGTAAATGAATGGCAAAACCAGGGACTAGAAAATTTCTTGCCTGATCCCAAAACAAAGGTCAGCTGCAGACGTGATTTAGGAAATCCAGTAACATCTCCAGTATATCACAAATGAGGTATTTACCAGGAACCTTGAGTCTCTGTTCCTGGCACATTCATAGCTGATAGCTTTCAAATCCAAGTTACTTCCAGCTGGCTTTATACAGTCAGGTAGCAGGGCTCACTGCTAAGGATGAACTTTCAGGTAATGGCGATATCCGAGATCCAGAATTAAAAAAAAACCCAACAAATCTAGGCAATAATTTGGATGTTTGGTTTCTGGAACTCGGTAAACGGAAAGGGTGAAGCCTGTACGTTCCCAAGACAAAAGGTTCACATTTATGTTCCCCAGCACAATGGCACATTGTGAGCCACCACGAATGCTCATCTGCTGTCTGCTTAAGTTGTTGTAATTAATGCAGAAGCACCCTACAAGCTGTCTCACAGGCGTACCACAAACTCAAATTAAAGTAATTCACATAAGTCCATTCCCAGCAAGCTTTCCTGATTAAACAGACAGCCCTATTATTATCCGATTCCCCATTAAGTTGCACCAACTGTATGAACAATAGTCCCACACAACCCTGCAGCGCAGGAAGACAGTAGCAGGATGCCCCACAGAGGGACAGGCCTGTCCCAAAGCCTGGCAGACAAAACAGTTCCAAGAGTCATTTTAAACATCAACATAATTTAAGATAAAGTTCTTCACTCTTCTGTGATTTTTAGATCAGCAGGGACTGGTGGATTAGCTGACTGCTCCTTGCAAAGCTCATCTAATTTCACGTTTTTAATTTGGCTAGTTTTAGCAAGAGCTGCATTATACCAAGAGTGATCATGTTAAATGGGAATTCCACATCACCTAGACAGGGATAAAAGGCAGCGGCTCCGCACAAGATGCCAGCAGACACCCTAGAGCACTGGGTTGGCTAGGGGACAGCTAACACCAACAAACATCTCCTCACAAACACGATGGGAAGACTTTGGTGGCCTCATTTTGATATGCTGGTCACAACGTCGCTTTTTATGTGATGCCTAGAAGATGGCTGACTTTTAACCTGCCTAACCGAACGGTTGTAAGAGGCAGCACAGGCTTCTCTCTCCCTTCCTCCACAGGAGAGCTCCTACAGCCCACACCCATTTTCCAGCACATTTAAGAGCAACAAAACCCCGTCTCCATTGCCAATGTGACAGCCAGATCAGGACTGCAGGGGCAACGGGATCATTTAAACACATGGGGGGGGGGAAAGCCTGGGATTTTCCTGCCAGCAGCAGAACAGAAAATGGCAACTTGTCAAATCACATGGCCTCAAGCTCTGCCAAACTGGAGGGAGCCTGGCCTGACAGCCCTTGCACTCTCCGGGCCAGGGAAATGCAGCAGCTCTGGAGACTTTGGACCGCAGACGAGCAGCTTGTAAAAGCCAGAACCAGTGTGAAGCCCTGGGTGCCCCAGTGCCGCTTCCCAACACGCAGGGCCCCGTGCAGTCCCGCACCAAAAATAGTGTGGAGCTCACACAGGGTACGCGCTCGCCCTGCGCCACCAGCCACTTCCACTTCCCTCTGGCACGTCAGGAATCCGGTCTAAATGTCACACCTTATACCAAGGCACGGCCGGAGAGCTGCAGCTAGGACATGAGACTTTTCCAACTTGCTAAATAATCCCCACGGTAGGTCAGGGCAGGATTAAGACACCAAGGGGAGAGCAGGGGTCAGTCAGCTCTCCAAATCTGTATCCTGCCTTTATTTATGGAAAACTCCTGGTAAAGATCAGGGAGATGAGGACAAGAATGAACACACGCACTTGACTGCCTTAAAAAAAGCGCAGCCAAGGACAGTAAACTTATTCTACTTGTTTGCACCAGGGTCCCAGAGCAGTTTTAAGCCACCTTGTTTCTCTAGCCAGGACAAACAACCCTTCAGTATACACATCCTTATAAGGTTAGAAATGTTTGCAGCACGAGGTTCACAGAGAAGCCAGATAATTCATTCTCAAGGTCCGAGAGGAGAGTTTAGCAACCACTCGCTCCACAACCTTAAAAATATTTAAGAACCAACAGCCCTATTTGCAGAGGGATAAATTACGACAAGTAAAAGGCTGAAAAAGCTGGTTGTTGCAGAGCTGAACTAGAGCTCTGGAACAAGAAACACCACCAACGCCAGGTTGTCTTTTATCTCCAAGATAAAAACCACTTTCGCTGTAATCAGCTTCACCGATGTCCCTGCAACAGCTCGCTCCCCTCCCGGGCAACGGAGGCGGCTGCACTGATGGCCCAGCCTTTATTAGTATTTCATTTCGGAGTCGCTGCTTCTGTGCATTTTCTCCCGCTCGGGAGCCAAACAGCGCCCAGCACAGCTCCGCAGCTCCAGCAGCGTTGCTTCGAGGCCAAAGCAGGACTCAGAACAGTTTCTGTTGACACACTCAAAAGCAGAGGTTTATAACAGAAGTATCAGCCTAGCCAAACTGCAGGGGGGGTTTGTTTGTTTGGTTTGCTTCAGTTTTTTTTTTCCACAGATGTTTTGGAAATCACCAAGAAGCTCATCTATATGCAAACACAACCAACCCTCACCACCTGCACTGCCTCATGGATTAACATAAAGCCCCGAGCTGACCACTTCTGCTATGAGTAAGGCACAGGTTACACTTTGTCATTAACATCAACCCTATCAGATTATCAAGCCCCTTACTGCACTTTATATCTTATTACCTTCCCGCTCCAATTGTTTCATTATTTATAGTTTCCCCGACTAAGCCAGTGTCTCCCTGTGAATCCTCTATTGCAGAGGAAGACACTTTTCACCACTTTGCCAGAAAGCTCTCTCAGATACAGGAGCAAACTTCAGAAACCACTTCTGTGCCACTTTACCAATACCACCTTTATCTTTCTTGGCTACGCCTTGGAATTTGGGGGAGTTGGGGTTTTTTTTTGCTAGCTTTGTAGTCTGCACCAGAAATGGAGTCAAACCAAACATTCCGCTTCCTCAAGCTAGCCAAGAGTTTAGCACAGAAGCCAGAGGCCACACGACCTTTCTATTATCACCCAGCTTTAAACTGCAGAGAAAGTCCTTTCCCTCAGACTACCTCACTCTGTGCACAGGTATCCCTGACCAGGGAATGAACACCACTTTCACAGCCAAGAGGTTAAGACATCACTTGGTGAGACTCTTTCTGATCAGCCATCTCCTCAACCAGTCCAGATTCAACTCTCCTGAAGGCATTTCTCCCAGAAGACTAAAGAGAACCAGTCCTCCACTGTACAGGCAAAGCAACTTTTATTACTTTATAATCTATCAACGCATTACAGAAGTTTTCCCCAAATCCACATTTTATCGTCTTTCTCTCTGCATTTTCACCCAGGCCAGAGAACAGATTAGTTTCCACAATTTCAGGAAAAATACACCCAATACTTAGCATTTCAAGTTTGCTTCTACACCAATGAAGCTAATGCAGCCCT